TTTGTTGGCTCATTGGCAAGAGTTCACTGCTCCATCGCTTAGTGTTGCTTCATCAACAGTGGAATTTATGGTTCAGAGAGCGTGATGCTTGCAGTCTGCTCCAATCCAGGGACTGCAGTGAGCTGTGTTGCCAGATGGGGGCAGTCTACAGACTACGTGGTAAATTCTATTTGGATTAAGAATTATATCATTACAAATCATTGAACTCCATCCAAGCCTCAGTTTTCATCTTTACCACCAACAGCTCCTAGATTGCAGGGGGGCATCTTGTCCTAAATCCTCTCACCACTGCAATTCTGTTCTGCCATCATGGTTCATCTCAGTCTATTTGCTAAATACATTCATTTCTCTATCACAATAAATCATGTTCAGTTCTTCCACGCGATCTCTTTTTCTTGAACTTTAGTTGATGAGATATTCAAAACCTTCACAATTTTGAGAAACGGAATTTTGAAATTGTTCTGTAGAATTTATAAAAACAGTTTTTAAGTCATTGGTGAACCTCTGTCCGTCTATATCTCTGAGGAAGTCTGCCTCAGTCAGTCCACTTTTATGCTCGCCACGTCACTTTGTGACAGGGAAACAGAGAAGTTCAGAACATGCAGAGTGGTCAAAAAGCATGCTCGAGATAAGTACCTCAAAGAGGTCTTGGATCAGCAGACCAGACAGCGTTCATGGGCTCATTCTAAACTACACGCAGTAAACAGAAAAGTGAAAAGGCTGTAAAATTGCCGTAAGCATTTGTACAGTGTGTACAAAGTGTCATTTTCCGGTTGAGCTTTAATCAATGCCCCCGCTGTTAGAAAGCTCAGCAGTGACGCCTTCTGGGAAAGAGCTAAATTACACGCATATGATCGGCTGCCTCATTCACCTACAGCAGTGCTGAGGACATTTAACCACGCATGTGACATTTTGTGTGCATTTATAAAGAAATTATCACATATGCACTTACTGCATAAAAAACCCACACAATGTCCAAATATTTGTTTTGTTCTAAAAGAGAAAAAAGCTCTTTTAAAAAAAAAAATCTAAAGTTCACACAAGACAAAACACGTTTGTTGATCAGTGTCTGATTTGTGGATTTAAGGCCTAACAACAACATTTAACCTGTTCTACAAAATTGTTTTTACTTGAGACGTTTTTTTTTCTTAAAAATATATTAAGGGCGTTCATTTCTCTACGATGATAAACATCTTTCTGTCTTTTTTACTTTTTTAGAAAATTGAACAAAAATTAATAAGGTTGTGTATTTGCAGTTTATCCCTTATTGCTTCTAAAAACATTTTAATAACGCTTTAAAAAAAAAGTCAATAAAGAAAACAAATACAGTAGTTAAGAGATTTATCATTTTTATTTATTTGTATTTGAATGAAACATGACTGAAAACCATTTTTATGTGAGCAACAAAACACAGGACAGTATCCTCCCAAAAATCCCTGATTTCTGTCACATTTTTATGCTTTGAGTTTTCTGGCTGATGATTATCACTAAATTTTGAAAATGATTGCGAGGCCGTCATATTTGACATTAAGTTGAATAAAATAATTATCAAGGCAGCCAGAAGGGGCATAATTGCATCTCATCTGCATATCATTATTGAGATACACACTCATGACACAGATATACACTCATAACATTGGGGGGGAAAAATAAAAATTCATTTTATTGGAAAATAAAACAACTTTAAGCAAAGAGTTGCATGACACTGCCAAAAACCTTTGGCCAGCTGATCCAGCTGAAGCAGTGGGTCAGGCTCTGGTTTGACACTTAAGGACATAATAAATGTAGAGCGACCTTTTAATACCCACACAGGAGAACAGGCAGTGTTGGAGACACACGGGACAGTTTGATGTTTCTGAGCGCTGAAACTCAAACTGAAAACTACTAAACGTTGTTAATATGGATGAAATAGATTAATTTGACTGAAATGGATATTACAGATTCTGACTTGTCTCTTTCAGTAACAACTGAATGATTATATGATGGTATTAAAAATTACTAGAAATTTAAAAACTGTTATTTAGAAAAATCACTAATAAAATAACCATGAATCTTCGGTTCCCTAAACTTGTCTAACTGGAGGGGTGTATCATCGGTTGTAGGGTGCTGTGTTTGTCTACATGATGTTGATTCAGTCACACAGAGAGTTCAGTGACACTGACAGGAGCTGGAGGGTTAAAAAAATAAAACAATTTCAGTTAGTCCACTGATCGTGGAATGGCTTTTGTATGAAACATTAGTGGAACTTTTTTTAATTCACAGACTAAAAAAATAAGTTTTTTTTTCTTAATCTTAAGAATATTAACAGCATTAACAGCCTTGAAGAATGTACATATTTTCCAGCCCAGCTTGGATCTCCATCAGTTATTCCCAAAGTAATAATAATAATGAAAAAAGAAGCCAGGAAGAAAGATTCAAGCCTCACAGTTTAGACAATCCACAGTATCAACAAACTAAATTACTCAAATATGTTTTTCTCACCTTTCCAGTTGGTCCTGATAATGCTTTCATTCAGATTTGTGACGATGTCCTCACCACCAGAGAGCTGAAAGACACAGTC